GTGCTTTTGTAATCCATAATATAGTGTCTGCACCCATATTTTATCCTTAAATGTATTGGCGTGGCTTGATGTTCATTAGGTGTTTGTATATTTGACTCGTTGTGTGTTGTAATAAGTGTTTGAATTGCCTACATGCATGTTTGACAATATTTTGGTAGAGTGCCATAGATATGTGGTGTGGTGTTATTCGTTTTCCTATTACTGTGGATGACCGACTGACGTTTAAACCCCGTCAGGACACCACAACGATTGACAAACATCCGGTGACACAAAGTGCCACTATTCGGATGAGGGTCACCCGGGGACAGGTTTCAGAAATCCCGCTTAACCTGTAGGATTATAATTGGAGCCCCGACCACAGTTGTGGGGCTTCAAAATAAAAAAATGCGTCCTACATGAGTACAAAAAGTGAAGATAATATTATTGGGGATTTGTCACTGACATTCACCCCCATCAGGACATTACGCCGAGTGACACAAAGTGCCACTATTCGGATGAGAATAACCCAGGGACAGGTCCCAAATACCATGTTCAACCCATACATTGGGTTAAATTAGGGCCCTCAGCAATAGCCGATGTGGAGCTTTAAAACTTCAACCATTTGCGTCCGAATTGGGATGCAGGATCTATTTATTTGTGTGGACTTATTGACCTTTACCCCGACCAGGACATCACATTGAGAAATAAACACCTGGTGACACAAAGTGCCATCCATTGGATGTGGATCAATTAGGCCAGGTACCAGAAGCCTCTTTCAGCCGTTAGGTTATGTTTGAGCCCCCGACAACTGCTGGGGTGGGGCTTTAAAACAACAACAAAATTGCATCCCATATTGGGATGGCTTAAATGGGGACATTACTGTTTATCCTGATTGCAATGAAGTATAATCCTAAAGCATGTTGTTCTGTGTGCTTGATAATGTCACCAACATGTCTCATTCTACCTCAGTAGTTGGCTTCCATGTCTCTAGGCTGGTGATGATGTCCACACCTTGAAGCCTGCAGTTAGCTTCTATGTTTCTAGGCTAGTGATGATGTCCACACCTTGTAGCCTGCAGTTAGCATCCATGTTTCTGCCCTAGTGATGATGTCCACAATTGGTAGCCCGCAGTTAGCCTCCATGTTTCTAGGCTGGTGATGATGTCCACACCTTGTAGCCTGCAGTTAGCTTCCATGTTTCTGGGCTAGTGATGATGTCCACACCTTGTAGCCTGCAGTTAGCTTCCATGTCTCTAGGCTGGTGATGATGTCCACAATTGGTAGCCCGCAGTTAGCCTCCATGTCTCCAGGCTGGCGATGATGTCCGCAGATGGTAGCCTGCAGTTAGCTTCCATGTCTCTAGGCTGGTGATGATGTCCACAGATGGTATCTTGCAGTTAGATTCTATGTCTCTAGGTGGGTGATGATTTTCACACCTTGCAGCCTACAAACAGCTTCCATGTCTCTAGGCTGATGATGATGTCCACAAATGGTATCCTGCAGTTAGCTTCCATGTCTCTAGGCTGGTGATGATGTCCACACCTTGTAGCCTGCAGTTAGCTTCCATGTCTCCAGGCTGTTGATGATGTCCACAGATAGTAGCCTGCAGTTAGCTTCCATGTCTCCAGGCTGGTGATGATGTCCACAAATAGTAGCCTGCAGTTAGCTTCCATGTCTCCAGGCTGGTGATGATGTCCACAGATAGTAGCCTGCAGTTAGCTTCCATGTCTCTAGGCTGGTGATGATGTCCACAAATGGTAGCCTGCAGTTAGCTTCCATGTCTCTAGGTTGGTGATGATGTCCACAGACAGAAGCCTGCAGTTAGCTGCCATGTCATGAGGCTGGTGATGATGTCCACACCTTGTAGCCTGCAGTTAGCTTCCATGTCTCTAGGCTGATGATGATGTCCACAGATGGTAGCCTGTAGTTAGCTTCCATGTCTCTAGGCTGGTGATGATATCCACAGATGGTATCCTGCAGTTAGCTTCCATGTCTCTAGGCTGGTGATGATGTCCACAGATGGTAGCCTGTAGTTAGCCTCCATGTCTCCAGGCTGGGGTTAATGTCCACACCTTGTAGCCTGCAGTTAGCTTCCATTTTTCTAGGCTGGTGATGATGTCCACAAATGGTATTCTGCAGTTAGCTTCCATGTTTCTAGGCTGGTGATGATGCTCACACCTTGTATCCTGCAGCTTCCATGTCTCCAGGCCTGGATTATGTCGCTGGACAAAACTGCAAGTCGAGTGGCATGTCATTTATTACGCAACTGAAGTCGCACACAAGTCCAAGTTTGCGCGACATCTGAACTCCGTTAAGTAAAATCAGTGATGACTATAATTAAGAGTGAAGAGCGAAATTAACTCGTGTAACGATTATCTGAAATCGAAACATGAGACTCTTTCGTTATTTAAATGCACAGCTGTGGACACGACAACATAAATAGGACAGCTGTAGGAGGTAGAGCACATTCCGGGTGAGATAGAGCCGACAACATTACAATTCTGTTTGGTGGATCTGATTGCGAAAAATACTACTTCGCGGCAGTGACCGTTATCTTCCAGCATGAATGCCCTGTGCTGTGCTCTATTCTTGATGGGTTTCCTCTGCACCCAAAACCTTGTCGAAGGCCTCCGTAAGTTGTACTCAATCAATCGCTTGTACTCTGTTGTATGGGTATTGTACGTTATAGAATTTTAAAGCTAAAAGTCTACAGAAAACCATAGGAAAATTTTGTCAAGCAAGATCACAGGTTAAGACTTAGGAGGAAATTGTACTGTTAATTCGTGGCAAACGGTTTTACATAAATATATGGATTTGTCATGTTTGCATAATGCTTTGGTATTTGTAGCCCATCGGTGGAGCGTAAATGGAAGAAACAGGAAGTGGGCGACTTAAGGAAGCCCGGAGAGGGGCAGTATAAATAGAAGAAATACGAAGTGGGCGACTTAAGGAAGCCTGGAGAGGGGCAGTATAAATGGAAGAAACACGAAGTGGGTGACTTAAGGAAGTCCGGAGAGGGGCAGTATAAATGGAAGAAACATGAAGTGGGTGACTTAAGGAAACCCGGAGAGGGACAGTATAAATGGAAGAAACACGAATTGGGCGACTTAAGGAAGCCCGCAGAGGGGCAGTATAAATGGAAGAAACATGAAGTGGGTGACTTAAGGAAGCCCGGAGAGGTGCAGTATAAATGGAAGAAACATGAAGTGGGCGACTTAAGGAAGTCCGGAGAGGGGCAGTATAAATGGAAGAAACATGAAGTGGGTGACTTAAGGAAGCCCGGAGAGGGGCAGTTTAAATGGAAATGCAGTAAGGTAAAACTGACAGGAAACACCTTGAAGAAAACACACAGACAGCTGTTGACATCCCGTGTGATTGTGGGATAATCACAGATTTTCTGTGTATGAGGACAGTCGCACCGTCATTAAGGCAACAATTAGAGTTTTGTTTTTTAATACCCCATGGAAGATGGGGTGAGGATGGTCTTTGTCACAAGTCGGTTGTCTTTCCCTTCTTCACGTTCAGGGACCGTAAAATCTGGTGGAAAGTTCTTGTTGTTCATCTACTTCTGAACTTTAGTCTTGTTCCCTTTTACAGATCTGACGTATGTGTATGCAAAGCATTAGTGTCATGTCTCTCAGGCAAATACACTCCGACTTCCAAGTAACCCATAATTAATCGACCCTTAGGACACGCTTGTTAGGGAGGTAGCGGCTCTACTACCACTCCTCCCTCTCTCCCTCAATAGGACTCTGAATCTCACACTGGGATCACCGATAGTGAATCAGGACCTTTATTTGACAAACTTAGGTGATAACTTCATAAGTGACATGTACTATGTGGGCGCTGTCTGTCTATTGTCATACTTGGGAATTGTTGTAATTCTCTTGCAGTATGCAACTGATTATGTTTATAACATACTTGATAGCAGCTGAGGTCATAGACAATGCTCGTGTAATTATCCGAGGCAATGCTTTTCACCGCAAGGGTTCATATGGATATCAGGAGCTGTCTTAGTTGATATGATAACAACCCCGGGAGAGATCCGAGGCAATGCTTTTCACCACAAGGGTTCATATGGATATCAGGAGCTGTCTTAGTTGATATGATAACAAACTGTCTGATTCCATTAACGACGTGACATGAACTAATTCTTGATGTGCCTTCGAAGTCTGGAGTTTACAGCCATTGAATGTAGAAATAGAAGATGAGATAACAAACCTAGTTCAGCATCGTTATTTCTGCATCCCGTTAAAATGAAATGAAAACTGCTTTCATACATCATCATCCTCATGTAGCAGGTCCTTTGCAGAACGTCGCTCTCATTACGGTCTTCCTGAAATAAACTCAGTCTCTCACCAGCGCTCCCGCCTCATGTACTTTTATACTCAACGAGCCACTTATATCCTGTGTCCATCTTCGTGTTGGTCGGCCTCTGCCCCTCCTTCCTGGTACCATGCCTTCTGCTTTTATTTTTTCCAATACGTCGTGGCGCTCAATATGACCAAAATATTTCAGCTTTCGAGACAGGATGCTGTTTATTAGCCAATCTTCCTTGATGTTGAGATTTTTCATTTCAAGACGTCAGAATTTCTCCTCTTCTTTGTCCAAGATATTCTGAGAATCTCTTCCTTTAGCATTTCAGCTCAAAAGCCCATATTATCTCTCTCTCTCTCTTTTTTTTTTTTTTTTTAGGACTTGGAGATGGTCCACGACTAACATCCGTATGTTGCTACAGGGAAGACGCATGCTCTCAAAATTCTAATTTTGATCTCCTTGCTGGTGCTTAACCATAGACTTTTAATGCTGTTCAATCTTTGCATTTCTATGGCCATCCTTTTCTTAATTTCTGTCAAACAGTCTCCATTGCTATTAAGTATAGAGCCTAGATATTCAAAGTTTGTGACATTTTCAATTTCTTCCTCATTTATTGTTATTTTTGTGTGTGCAGTCACTGACTTATTGAAATATCCATTTTGGCAAACCCATAACAATAAAGTGACCATTTTATTACCATTTCAG